AACCGCGCCAGCATGCCTGCCCGGAGGGGAAAGGGTGTTGACCCACTCGCCTGCTCCTCTCTGGAAAGAAAGATGGCGGCCGCACAGGAGCCTTGTGGACAGCAGGTTTGAGCCGGGCCAGGGGGCGGCAGGGGCCTCATGGGAAGGGGGGCGTTCTGGGCCATCCTTCACGCCCAACCGAGGTCACCAGCTGCCCCCAACAAGCGGCTCTCCGGCACGGCCACGGCCCCGGAGGCACAAGGACTTAGCACAGACAGCCACCCGCTTGGAGCAGAAAAGCAAATGGACTATGTGTTAAACCGCGCCAGCATGCCTGCCCAGAGGGGAAAGGGTGTTGACCCACTTGCCCGCTCCTCTCTGGAAAGAAAGATGGCGGCCGCACGGGAGCCTTGTGGACAACAGGTTTGAGCCGGGGGCAGGGGGTGGCAGGGGCCTCATGGGAAGGGGGGCGTTCTGGGCCATCCTTCACGCCCGACCGAGGTCACCAGCTGCCCCCCATGAGCGGCTCTCTGGCACGGCCACGACTCCAGAGCACAGAAACCAATCTCTTAACTATCTAACTTTTAATAGAAATACTTCCAGGGTTAATAAGTAAAATAGCAGAAATCCAAAACCGCAATAGCGGCCGCGCGACATCATTTTATTCTTAAACCCAGCTGTAGAAAGCGAATCATTTCACAACGCTGTTTTAGCATATCTGATTGGGGGGGGGGTCATAAACTCTAAACAATAATTGTGCATCTTCTATCGAAACAATGTATCTAGTCAAAGTAGATAGAGTATTAACTAGAACTCATCTGCCTCACAGGAATTGGGAGGGGTGGGAGGTGGGGTTCTATTGGGGTTCGCGGTTAAAAATAAGTATTGGTAAAGGGAAATGTGTTTGATACTTACATGACTGAGACCTAAACCCAAAAGCTCTGTAACTTTTCCCACAGTGATTCAATAAAGAAATAAATTATTAAAAAAAATAAGATCCCAGAAACCCAATAATAATTCCCCAGTCCACCTCTGACAGGTCCAATCTGCAATGACATAGTTGCCATAAAACTTACCTTCAGGCATGGTAGATAGTAAGAGTAAACTTTTGGGGCTAGAATAGTAATGTGGGTTTCTAGCTGGCCTTGCATTCTGCAACCAAATTTCATTCTCCAACACCACATATGGTCTCCTGAGCATCACTAGGAACATTCTTGGAATGCAGTGCTCAGAGTAATCCCAGAGCATCACTGGGTGTGTCTGCCACCCAATCCCCCCAAAGATAGAAAAAGTAGACCCTCATGTATATTAGTATATGTCTAAATATTTACACTTCACAACATCATGAAATATAAACTTTTAGGAGATAGTTGAAACGGTCTTGTTCTACTTGTTCTGCTAAGTGGAACAGTCTCCAACTGTTAATAATTTGATATTTAGCAGGACAAAACATTTATTCACATGCAATGTGTGTAAAGCAATTGCATGTTTTTATTTTAAAACACGCATGTGTACAATTCTGCATAACTGCACTATGCACCATATAGAGAAATTATTTTGAAAGAATAATAAATGTAATAGTCATGCTTTAAAATAAATTTATGTATGCATAAAGCATATTTTTATTTTATATATGTCATGTACATATATATTTTTCTTTCAATATAATTTATATTTATAGCTCTATTTATATCCATATTTATATTTAACAGTGATTCAAAGTTTTGCTTTCAGTTAATTCAGTATTAGACTACAGTGAGCAGCTATATAAGTAAGATGCTTCACAAGACCACATAGGTATAAAAGAAGTGTCAGAGGCTTGCTAAGTAAGTCACATGTTCTATACCAATTTTCAATGTCCTAGATGTTCTAGATGTGTCATGGACAATAATTTGCTTCCTCACACAAATCTTCATCAATGTCAGAGCCGCACGTATACAATTAGGATGAGGCATAACATGAATAATTAGGGTAACAAATCTACACAACATATAGCTTTTAAAATTAGTTCTTCAGTCTACTTATTGTTGATTCTATTAACTTGTATTTCATCTCAGTGTGGATAGCAATAGCTATATAAGAGAGAAGTATGGCTCAGAATTTCTTGATATTTGCTGTACTTTAGTGTTAAATTCACCTTAAATTAATGAACTTTTGGTATTAAAGACAAATGAATTTCAACAAAACTAGGTCAAGAGGTGAAAACAATTTAGAGCTACATATGGCTGGACAGGTACAAACTGCATTATTTCATAAAATGAAGATCATCCTATTAGGCTAGGATGGTCTATATGGCACCCTCTTTTATTCTGATAGGTGATTTGCTTATTGGAATTCAAAGCTGTATGGAAAATGACCAAAATTAGTTTTTCTAGGTAAATCATTTCAATTATTAATGAAGATTAGTTATTTCTTCTTTTTAGTTATAGCAATTGTCAACAAAATTATTATAATTGTCTTCCTTTACCTAATCGGTGGACTGGAGCAATAGCACAGCGGGTAGGGCATTTGTCTTGCACAAAGTCAACATGGCTGACCCGAGTTCAATTCTTCCGCCCCTCTTGAAGAGCCTGGCAAGCTACCGAGAGTGTCTTGCCTGCGGCAAAGCCTGGCAAGCTACCCATGATGTATTCGATATGCCAAACACAGTAACAAGTCTCACAATGTTACAGGGCCTGCTTGAGCAAATCGATGAACAAATAGATGAATCGGATGACAGTGACAATGACAGTGATCTAATGGGTATGTTATAAGATCCTATGGAAAATGAAGCCAATCTCAGAGACCACTCTTATATAAAAGAAAAAAAAAACTAGAAGAATGAAAAAGATCCTGGATTGCATTACTTCATTCTGCTAGGTTAAGTTGTGTTCTTTAGTTCCTTAATCCCCAAATCAAGATAACACTTCTATGATTGGTTATAAAAACTCAGAAGATTTTGAGTGCTATATCTAATGCTATAACTAATACTATTACAAATATAAGCATGTGATATTGATTATTATAATAAATGTTCCATTTTTCTTATAAATGTGGTTTCTGAAGCATAGAACTGAATAAACTCTCAGATAAAAAGTAGCTCCAAGAAATTATGACAAATTTAGAAAACAAGAGTTCACAAGTCTGGGCAATTTCCACTCAAATTATAATTTAGTGAGAAAGGATGAATCAAGGAGGAAAGGGTACCCAGGGTTTGCACAGATGCATTAATATCCAGCTCAGAATCCTGAAATCTTCACGTGCTTCCTCATGTTCTTTGACACTTTTGGCCCCTAATTATTCCCTTTTTCCCTATCAATTACAAACCACTGATCAAAATAAATCATGCCACTAAATCTTATCTTCTGTAAGAAAGGGTCAAAATTACACATCATTTAAACTGTTACTTTGAAATGAGGGAGTAATATTGAACAATTTATAGAAAAATTCACTCAAAAATTATTTCTCTTTTGTCAAGAGAGGGTACCTTTTTCTCTAACTTGAATCTAGATGGTGTTTGTACTTAATAATTGGCTATTAGAAGACAATGTAAACAACTTTTTCCTAGGTCTTAAGTTAAGACGCATGATGATTTATTTATTTCCACTCTTGCTCTTGGGTTCTAGATCCCAAGTTGCAGTCTACTGCCATAGATCCAGTCTACTGAATTTAGTTTTAGTGCCTATCCTCACAACCAAGAGTTAAATTAGAAGTTGTTGAAAACACCCCTAAGTTCTATGGCACCAGAAACAAATCAGTAGGCACATATTTTATGCAACAGTAGCTGAGCACATTACAATTTCTATGAACTTGGGTTACCTCATCAAAAACATGTGAAGGTAATAGTTTAACTATGAGCAAATATACTATTCATTTCTTTTTTATTTTTGTTTTGTTTTGTTTTTTGCTTTTTGGGTCATACCTGGCGATGCTCAAGGGTGACTCCAGGCTCTGCACTCAGGAATCATTCCTGGCCTTGCTCAGGGGACCATATGGGATGCTGGGAACCGAACCCAGGTCAGCTGTATGCAAGGCAAATGCCCTACCTGCTGTGCTATTGCTCCAGCCCCTCATTTGTTTATAGATGTTTTACATAATCACTTTATATCTTTATTATTTCCAGTGACTCTAAGAGATAACTATCAAGAGATCAAATTTATAAAATGTGAATTTCAAATAACCTCCTCAATATCAGGAAGCAGTTATATTTTAATTATGCATTTAAATAAGATATTATAAATTCTTATTTTTAATACCTTTGGCATATGTTGTGTGTACGTGCATGCAGGTATTTGTGTGTGTGCTTGTGTGTGTGTGTGTGTGTGTGTGTGTGTGTGTGTTTCACAGAGAGTAGTGCTCAGGGCTTATTCCTGACTCTTGCTCAGGTACCACTTCTTGGTAGGCTTGGAGTACTTTATGGGGTTCCATGGATAAAGCCAGTTACTTATGCTAGTTAAGTAACCTACATGCTATAGTCTCTCTCTGGCCTATAGGCATTGATTATTTTTGATGTGTTTTTGAAAATGTGTTTTTGGAAAATAGTCTCTACAGTTATAGCTTTTAATCAGAAATACAAATGGAAATTTCATTCCCAATAAATTTACATTTCTTTAAAACTGACTGACATATTTAATAAAACGAGCAACTAAGAAAAAAGTGGATAGAAGAGGGTGCAGAATAGAAATGAACACTTTCCAGTCTTTGTCTATCTATGGTTCATTTGATATAAACTAAAGGTTCTGCTTTTCTACTTGACCAGAAAGCTACCACAGTCATTCGGGAACTTGTATTGCACACAGTAGACCAAGTTTGATTTCATATGGTCTCCTGAGCACTGACAGGAGTGATCTACAAACTTGGAGCCAGGAGTAATCCCTGAGTAGAGGCAGGTTTGTTTACCCCAAAAATATAGAACAAATCAAAAACAAAACTGTAATAAAGAGATACCAATGTTTCTATATTCTGTCCTTACCACCTTCACCCCCTGAAAATAAACACACACACACACATGCACACACTCACAAAGAGAAATGTGTACTTACCCTCTCTGAAAGAGATCCACATTATAAAACTTATGGAGCTCTATAGAAAACTCAATTGTTCCTTGTACTTCAGTCATGATCTTTTTGGTGCATTACCTGAAAAATAAATTAATACTTTTAAATCATACTAGGAAAACACAGAGTATAGTTACTAAACAGGAGATCAATTTGTGCTAACTTAAATGGACAAGAGTGTCTGACCAACCAAGACTAGGATGTGTCTGGTGAATGTCATCACTCAGGGCTTCCTTTTTGGGGGTGGAGCTGGGCTACTTGCAACAAAACTCAGAATTACTCTTAGCCATGCACTCATGTATTGCTCCTGGCAGAGCTCAGTTGATCAGATGCAATTCTGGGCATGGAACACAGATTAGCCACATGCAAGATTAGTGCCTTATAGCTGTAGTATCTCTCCAGACCCCAATCTTTTTTACAGAAAAAGATTCAGGGAAATGAGATTGTTTCATTCATCTCATGCTGAAATGACTTGGACTTGGATCCAGATATCCTTTTTGTGAATCTTGGCTAGGCTACTGTCCTTCCTTATTTGTCAGTTATAAAAAAGTAACATCTCAACTATTGCAAGTGCTTTATAGAAAATTTACTAAGAATCCCTTCCCCTTTATGCCTGTGTAACTTTGGGTGGGAAAAGTGGGAGGAGGGAAAATTAAGAGAGTTCAAGTATAGAATGAGATGCAAATCAAAAGGGAGATTCAAGACAGATTGGATTTGTCTAAGGAAATGAAATTATATAGTGGGAGCCAGAGAGCTTTCCTTGCATACTAATATCCACATAGAATCCCTAGAACCTCAAATGGCACCCTAAGTTCTGCCAGGAGATATTTCTAACCACAGAATAAGGAGTAATCCTTGAGCACTGATGAGTGACACCAAAACAACTAAAGAAACAGAAAACAAAATAAAATTATAATACCAGGGCTTTAAGGGAAAGAAAAGAAACCATTTTATTTATCACCTGTTATATTCACAGTGTTGAGTATTTTATATAAGCTCACTGAGTTTGTCCAAAAAGAATTTCAAATTAAAGGTTCTGGACTGACGTTAAACATCAGTGAAATAAATGATCGGAGAAAATCTGAACAAGAATAATTTCTAACACCATTATATTCTCGTAGCATGTACTTTGATAAGTATGTCTCCCTACTTTCTCCAAATTTTGGTGCACTTTCCTGTGTAATAGTAGGTTCTCATTAGGAGGCAGATAGAATACAGGGGTGTGGAGAGAGGAGGAAAAGAGAAGGGCAGGATGAAAGACAAAAAAATAGTGATTAGGATGTAAGATCCCTTTAAACCTTTTACATTCCCCTCACTAAGATACCTCAAGGTCTCAACTCTCATCCCAGTGGTTGAGAACTCAGTCTTGTTTATGGAATCGGACTAGTCCAATTCCCGAGAATAAGAGCACAGGTATTTACACTATTATCAGGCTTCAATTCTGTCTCTCAATTAAAGAAGATGGTCAATCAGAGGAACATTTCTGATGACAAAATGTTCCAAACACTAAATCATAATTTAACAGATCATAGGACCCATTTGCTATAAATTCTGTACCTTGGAATTTCAGACTGAGTAGCTTAGGAAAGCAAGATTCACAAAATGGGCTGAAACCCTGTTTCTATAATAGGATGCATCCTGCCCAACCTAACACACAGAGTCAATCAAGGTCAGAATCCAATGTTTAGATGAATTTCAAGGCATTTTAAGCAAATGCTAGATGAAGGGACAAGCAAATAGTACCATTCTGCATTTCATTTTGTTATCACATTAAATATGACAGCTGCATCTTCCACACTTTCTGATAAACCTATTCCAAAATATTGCAGAGCCAGCAAAGCCACCTGATTCTTTGCTTATGGTATTCTGGTTCAATATTTTCTACACTATTTGCTTCTGGAGGGAAATTATATAAATATGGAAGAAAGAAAAAGCCATTTGATATCCTAACCTATTCCATGCCATACAATGTTCAGGGAATTCTATAAACTATTCCATGAACAATTTAAAATTCTAAAATCAGAAGTACTTACTTCAGTTAACACAAGACCCTTAAATATCCATCTAGGGGATTGGTATCAACCAACAGTTCCAAAGATGTGACTTTCATCTTACTGTCAGATGTACTTACTGATACTTACTGTCAGATGTACTAGACTTAGAACTATGCTTTTAAAGGATGTTAACATTTAAAAGAAAATATTTAATACATAGACAATGCCATTCAGAATATTGCTTTCTTTTTAGATGATATACCCTACCTTTCTGTTATTGAGTTAATAAAGGATGGAAGTTTGGAATTGGCATATACAAACACAACTCACTGAGAAACTGCCTTTTTCTTCTTTAATACCATGTGATTCATTATAGTTAAACAACTTATTCAACGAGAAAGATGATGTCAAACCTAGAATACCAGAAACTCTCTATATATTTTGCTGAAATATATACTCAGTTTGGGCTGGAGCAATAGCACAGTGGCAGGGCATTTGCCTTGCACGAGGCTGGCCTGGCCGAGCTGGGTTCGATTCCTCCACCCCTCTCAGAGAGTCAGCAAGCTACTGAGAGTATCTTGCCCACACGGCAAAGCCTGGCAAGCTACCCGTGAAGTATTCAGTATGCCAAACACAGTAACAACAAGTCTCACAATGGAGACATTACTGGGCCTCCTCGAGCAAATCTATGAACAACAGGAGGACAGTGCTACAGTGCTACAGTGCTACATACTCAGTTTAATTTATATGCATTTCAGGAATCTTTAGGAATTCAAAACCATAGACTGGTACGAGTCACTCATACTGTCTCAGTTCTCAATTTTTATCATCATTACCTCCTCAAATACCTCCTCTCCATAGCCAGTTACCACTGAGTTCTCCCAGTGCATCCTATTGCTGAACAATACCAACTTCTGAACATAAGAATTTACACTCTCCTTCTATGCCAGAGCTGATCCTAACCCATCCTCCATTGAGCTCACAATGAAATTCTGGGAGATAATCCCTCTACAAGCATGGGGGAGAGAACATCAGCATATCTATGTGATGCTAGGGATTAAAGAGTTTTACTGGCATGAAGATTACAGGTATTAGTCAGCAAATTGTCAATAATCATAAGTAGTGGAAGTTATTTTTATTTTTGCCTGATGTTGACAAAAAGTTTTAAAATGTCATTTATGCAATCCTTAAAGCACTAATATTCTCCTTTAGATGTTAAAGGTTCTAGGCCCCTGGAGGCCCAGTTCCCATGACAATTAACACTGAGGATTTGCACTTTACAAGGCAATATTTCTAAACTATTTACTTATTTACATTTTTTAAATCTTATAAAAATTCCTAGTGTACTCTTAGAAAATTTGTTTAAAATAGTGATTTATTCAAATTCTGGAATGCTTTCTCAAAAGCATTTCTCAAAATCTAAGAATTGAGCTTGTACAAAACCCAAAAATTCCACTTCTCAACATCTACCCAAAGGGTCCAAAATGGTAATTTGAAAAAAAAACTCCGTGTGTGTATGTATGCCTGTTAAAATAATATTTCAAAAAAAATTGTGAAAGTGATATCACAACAGCATTATATTTTGAGCCGAACTCAAAATTGAAAATATAACACATGGTTTTTGATCTTGTCTTTCCCTCCAAAACCTTTTGAAGGCAAGAATATAGGAATACACCGATAATGTATATTGGGGAAAACATTGACCAAAACTTGAATAATCCAACCTAAAGTCATGAAGATCTTTTACGCTAAAGACTCATCTCAGAAGCCCTGAAAAACACTGAGATATTAAGATGCACATAGTTTATCTACCTCTTTTCCTCCCTCCCTTCCTTTATTTCTAAAATAAATTGTCAATAATCATCAGTAGTGGAAGTTATTTTTATTTTTATTTTACTGAAAAAAATTTACTAAATAATTTACTAAAAAAAAAGAAACGAAAGAAAAAAAGTATGTCCCTATGTTCATTGCAGTGCTCTTCAAAGCAGTGAAGCTGGAAACAACCCAAGTGCTTCAAGATAGGTTACTGTATAAAGAAATTGTTACACATACACACTTGTTACAAACACACACACAATGGAATACTACTCAGCTATAAGAAAAAGTAAAATCCTTCAATTTGCTTTTATGTGGACTGGTTTGGAGAGCATCATGCTGAGTAAAGTCTGTTAGAGGAGAGAGACAAGTGTAGAACGATCTCTCTCATAAGCAGGATATAAAGGAAGACAATAAGTGAATGACAAATAGTTTAAGGCAACAGAACTGTTGAGGTTTTTTAAAGAACTGAGTTTACTTGGGTGGCAGGGTGGTGAAGGTTTTCCTAAGGACATTGGTGGAGGAAAGCAGATACTTTGGTACCCGGAGGAGGTACTGTATCAGAATGCATGAAACAAGCATTGGCACCTTATAAATCACAGGATCTCAATAAAAATGAGAGAAAATATTAAGATTATTTTCATGGAAAAGCCACAATTCTAATATCTCATTAGATATTGCATGGATACAAATCCTTTCACAAACACATTTTCCTTTAAAACACTGTTTTACTTTTAAAACATCAAACTACCATGGCTGTGGCCTTTGAAAGATTAAGTGAAAATAAAATCAAATAAAATAAATCAACAATATACATTGATCTTAAATACAAGCCAGCATTTACTTTATGAAAAGGGCATGCAAAGTTAATTTGCTAAAAAGATTATAAACCATAGAATTGCAATATATACAATGAGGAGAACGTAAGAAGGGGAATCTCACACTAGAGAGGAGGATGGTGAGAGGAATAGGCAAAGGAGACCAGAATAAAAAGAGAAGGCTCAAAGGTGAGTAACACAACCCTTGATTCAATACCAAACTCTCTCCTCCACTGCCAGTAATCTCTTTGATAAACTAAGGCTACATTTACTGAAAATTTTTAGCCTGGTATTCTTCCCTTGGGTATTTGCTCCAAGTTGTCACTCTTCTGACTTCATACATGTTCAGGGAGGAGACAGTCTATGATGTATTTAAGGAATATAGTCCTATTACTGAAAACCTGTGTTCCTTTCCAAGGAGGGAAGATCACCTAACAACAGCCTTTGTGGACTG